CACAGAGTTGGTTAGGCCATAGCTGTAGACTCGGCTGGCTAAATGAGTTTTTTATGCTGTACGCTGCTCAGCTTTGCAGGATGCTAATAGAATGGTATAGAAAGAGCTGAATGTGTCCATCACTCTCAAGTAAAATAATAACAAAAAGCAATGTTTATCCACATTTAATGAGGTACTAATTAGCCTAGCACCTTAGAAGAATCAGGTCTGCAGCTATGGCAAAAATAAAGTAGTTTTCAATTCATTAAGTGTAACAAACAAATTCATATATAATATGTTTGAATGATTGACAGCCAAAGAACAGAGATTATTAAAAAAAAAGAAAATGATTTGCCTAAGTTTCAGGAAAATATTAAAACAGAGTTAATTAGTTTACATTGATTTCATAATTATGTTTTTTGTACAACCACAATGGATTTAAAATTAGGCAATCAGCTTAATTGTACAATCTGAGAAATATACTAAAATATATATATATTATGTATATAATATCCAATTTCCATGTAGACCAGGATAATTGGATAAACTAAAATAATCAGAAAAATACCTATATTTTGATCTGAATGCAAATTTTGCACAGACACTGACTGAAGGTTGATTGACAGCTAACAGTGAGACACTCTCCACCATCCTTCTCTTTTTCTCATTCCTCTGACCAATGCAGGCGTTCAGCCTTGCTGCTGTGCCTCTCATTTAAAATTGATAACCTTCCTCATTGTCTCTGTTGTGCATCTCGCTTCACACCTGACAAACAAATTCTAAGTTGAATTTGAGGACTCAGTCTACCTCAACAGGGTGCGCTAATAGATCCTCCTGCACATTGCACGGGGACAATCTGCTCTAGTATCCGTAGCAGCATCCATACAGTTTAAAGTCTGTGCTAAATTTAAATCTGCATAATTATCCAAGCTGGGCTAAAGTGAAGTGCCAACCTCTCGGTTTTGCACCATTTTCCTGAATCCGAGCTGAACAGGAATCCTGCTGCTTCTGTAAACAGGTAAATCACCAGTAAACACAGAGCATCAAACTCCGCTGTCAGCTCTTTAAGTCCTGAACATTTCTAAGTCCTAACCATGTTAAACTGATGATGTACTATATTATTGGACCACTTCAGTTCTCATTACGCTTCTTCTCAGATAGTTCTGGCCCAGGTTTCATCTTGGCACCATCTGTCCTAGGAATCTTGTTCCAGTACTGTGCACCACATTCATAAAGGCCTGCTTTGATTGCAGGCCTTTATAGAACGCCTCCTCATGAATGTTGAGGTAGCTCAACGCTTTGAAGCAGATTCATTTTAAACAAGGAAATAGCTGCACAGTAATCCATAATCCAAAAACCCAGCTGTCAGTTCTGCTCTTCAACATGTTTTTCTTGCAAAGATTAGAAGTTTAATTTCTCTTAAACCAAGATTAGGGCATGTTTTTCTTCCCTGCATGGAACAGTCCTTGGTTACAGACCATAAAAGGAAAAAAGGAAGGAAATATGCAAATCCAAACACATTTACCATTTATATTTTATTAATTTGACATTAATAAGAACACAAAACGGTCAATTAAGAGAGAATGCTACTCTTGAAAAACAAACATAACTAAAACAAGGGTGACAAAAAAGAGGTTATGTGTGAAATAATGATAAAGTAACCAATCAATCATTCAGTGATCAAGCCTGGATGCCCTTTTCAGCTTGATCAAACAGGTCAAACTCCCCACCCCCTTCAGTGAGTAAATGCAGCTACTCCAGTGAAGTAAATCTAACTTTGGAGAAAAAATGGGCTAAGGTGGAGGATTATGTGCTTTGATGCTTACACTGAAATAATTAACTACTGCAGTGAAAGAGGGAGTTTTCCCTTAGATATTTTACCAGTTTCTGCTTTAATGAAAAAATTTAGATAATCACAACTTTTTAATATTACAATGCAAATCAGCTGTGACAAAGACTTAGAGGTTTTTTTCTAATTAAACAAAAGGCAGATGCTTTAAAAAATGTTCACAAATCTGTTTAAAGCTGTTAGTGAACACTTCCTCCTTACAAGACAAACCATCCACCTCACAGGTGTAGCACATTAAGATGCTAATTAGACGGCACCATTATTGCACAGCTGTGCCTTTGGCTGGCCAAAATAAAAGGCCACTCTCAAATGAGCAATTTTACAGTATTGGGCTGGGGTCTAAAAACTAGTCAGCATCTGGTTCTGGTGTGGTACTGACTAATAACTTTTATATGCTATAGGACATACTGCTTAGGAATAAGCCAGTCAGATCCTTAAAGAAATCTGCACAAGCAATTAAAATGTGATTCCATCCCTAAACGCAATTTATTCATAATTAACATAAATATCCGTATTTTAGTTACATTTAGGCACCTTATCCCAAATAAAATGTGATGGGAAACAGGGTGGAACATTTAGAATAAATTACAGGATAAATTATTTCCAATAGAACTGTGACTCCGCTGTAAACAGTTTAGACATACTTCACAACAAACAGGATAATCTGTATGCACATACTAGAAGAAGCATTTGTTTACAACTCCATGTCTCAGTTTTTGTTCCCCGTTTCAAATCTTCTACTTATGTGCTGATGGAAACAACGGGATGTCTTGATTGTGAGAACAAAAGATAGAAAAAAATAAACACATTTTCACTGAACCAATAAGCACTTCATTACAAATGCCGCTACAAGTTTGCATGTTTAATTAAATGAAACAGATGTGTGTATTATTTCAACCCCGATTTGCCTGAAATATAATGTTATTGACTTATTTATCCCAGAAGAGGAGACCTTAAATCATCCCTCATGTGAATTTATACTGGAAACAGACTCCTTTTCATGACATTTTTGGCAAAAGACAAAAATATCTTCATAAATGCATATGGTCTACTATCTGGACGGTTCACAAACCTTTCTTTTCTTCTTTTAAACCTCAGTGTAGCAGCAACCAGCTGCAATTTATCACGTGCAGCTGTGCTACCTGCTGTGCTAACATCAGCAAAGATAACCGTGCAACCCTTTGATTTCAGCCACCTGAGCCGTTTGATATCAAACTGAAAAAACTCTTTGATCTGCACTCTTGTGTGGTGAACAAAAACAGCTATCCATTTACACTGCATAAACATATTACAAATTCCATAAGTGGATGCATAAATTATTGAATACAATAATATGAAAGGAAAAATAATTAAAAATTACAATATGTAAAGATTTTTCGGGTTTATGAAAAAAGAATCCCTGATGGCTTACTGATGAAAAAGAAAACAATAAAATTAACATGTTTAAGCCAAATTTCTAACACACTCACAGTCTGGTTTCACTATTTTAATGGGGGCTCTCCATTCACTTCCATTCATTTGTAGGTGAGTTCTACAGCATAACTGTGACTATTACAATAAACGTAACCATTACGTGTTCATATCTAACCCTAAACTCAATTCACACCTAAGTCCTAAACCTAACACCTAAGCCAAAAACAGCATTTATACCCATGGGGACAAGACATATAAGAAACACACACGCATATGTTAGGTAAGCTGCAACAACATACGTGAAAATAATATTTGTTTTTTATATTTAGTCATCAACGGAAGGAAGGAAGGAAGGAAGGAAGGAAGGAAGGAAGGAAGGAAGGAA